TTTAGTCACCGAGGCTTTAGTCACCGAGGCTTTAGCCACCGAGGCTTCAGTCACCGATGCTTTAGTCACCGAGGCTTTAGTCACCGAGGCTTTAGTCACCGAGGCTTCAGCCACCGAGGCTTCAGTCACCGAGGCTTCAGTCACCGAGGCTTTAGTCACCGAGGCTTTAGTCACCGAGGCTTTAGCCACCGAGGCTTCAGTCACCGATGCTTTAGTCACCGAGGCTTTAGTCACCGAGGCTTTAGTCACCGAGGCTTCAGCCACCGAGGCTTTAGTCACCGAGGCTTTAGTCACCGAGGCTTTAGCCACCGAGGCTTTAGTCACCGACTCGGCCTTCCACGTGGGCCGACAGTCAAGTAAATTGTGTGCGTTCCACTCGTGACTACATTGAGTTTCCATCGTAGCTATTGTTACATACTTTACAAGTGCTCGCTTGACAATAACCTATCACTCCTAAGTTAAAATAAAAAATGCTCAACTCATGTGTTGTCGTCACAAATACATTCCCCAGTTCCAGTTGGAATTTGTTTCTTATCGAAGGCTCCCAATTGCAGCCACGCGCGATCTCCAAAAACAAAGGTCCCTCCCCTCCTTAGTTGTAGCCTCAGCAAACTCTTGGGGCAAGTGCTGTTAGCGAGCACCTATGAAGGACGGCTCGGCACACGAGGGGGGCCGCAGGGGGTGGCCAGCACCACGCCCGGCCGCCCACGTCTGCCGAGTGGCGATGTTCACTACACACCGTACCGGGCACAGTACTCATTTGAGGCTGAGTCGACCTAGGTGATGCCCAGGACCACGATATCCACCACACTCTACACGAGCAGTTGTGCCCCTCTTTGCTCCTTCTGCTATGACGAGGGACCCATTGCCCGAAACGTCGGCCTGCTACTGTATACGGTACTGTATAGTGTGCAACGTATTGAATGTGATCAGTCAGTCTCTCTCTTTTCTTTGGAGTTGTGCCTGAGCGGAAGTTGTTTTTCGTAACGTTGCTCGCCTCATTTTCTTTGGAAGTGAGCAAACATTGCCAGGCCCAGCGAAACGGAAGGAGACCCACCTTTGGCAATATTGACTTATGGCGGTGTGTGGCCGGTGTAGATATATACACACACACACATATATGTTTAAACCGCGTCTCGCGGACTTATTTGTGTCCCGACGCTGGGTCCCGTATATCTGTCGAGACGGCGGTACTTTAACGGACGTGCGAAAGGAAGCCGGGGTGGAGGGAGCGGTGGCGCAGTGGTTAAGGCACTATAACGTGGCAAGTCACCGCTCAGATGCGTACAGCGTGAGAGCGGTGACGTGATACATCTGTCTGAAGCGGCTCATGTGCCACTCTCACTACACACACTCAACTCTTCGTCATCAACACCATACCGACCGGCAGGGTGAAGTATGGTCAATCGATCACCATGACCGTCGACACGGCGTTGGGAAGGCCCAACTTTACCCGCCAATGGATCAACAAAAAGGCTGAATGTTGCGAGAATTCTTTAAATTAATGTTACGATAATTATTTAAATGGAATATGGCTGTACGTGTTAGTCGGGTGTCTGTCAGTATTCGTACGATAGAGTAGCAGTACTATCAACGTCACTGGCAGTAGCTATTCCCACGAAAATAAATCCACTTTAGTGGCATCGATTTCATGAATAATCAATTTTGAGCTCAACTAAATTGAATCGATTAATCGCACAAAATGTTGCAAATTGAGTTGAACGCTGAAGTGTTTTTTTTTATATTAGGAAAGTTTCACGAACCCAAGTTAGAATTGCACAGCGATAGTTTATCCAAATGATGTTGTACCATATTCACAGATCGAAATCAACGCCGTAACAGAATCACACGCAACAAAAAAAAACAGCACAGCATAGGATCACCAAACAAAAGTTTACCATTCATATATTATCACCGAGTGTGGAACTCAACGACCCTACATAATGCCGACACCGCGTTACGAGGGCCTTCATCCAGCAGCGGATTTACAGAGGCTGCAAAAACTCTGGCCGCGAAAATAATGGCGAATAGCACTGCAAATAAAACACGCGCGCGGATAGAGGGCGGCGACGCTTTATTCAACAGAGGGTAATAACGTAAACACACTTTTTTTTATATATACGACGCAGATAAACGCGATGAATGATTTTGTATATTATATATGTTTAAATAAAAACCTCGCTTTCATTAAGGAAAATACAAATGCGACATCGCCACGCGCGGTCCGCACGGGAGCTATAGCGCTGAATATTTCACGCAGTAATTACCTCTCACCTGGATTTTAAACTCAGCCAAATAAATACTCCCATTACAGAAATTACAGTCCGCATATTCGTTCCTAAATTATACGAGAATGGTTTACTTAACGAGACACGCGTGCGTTATTTCAGTAGCACAAATAGGAATGGCTTAAATTTCGATTTTAAGCTTTCGTGACTGCAGGGATTCATCTTCTTGGTTCTTTCGGTAAAGTCACGTAGAAGGGAAATAATAAAATAATAAAAATAAAACATAATAAAATATTTCTCACGACGTTTCGGCCACAACGCACACCTGAGGACGGCTGCTTGCGTTGTGGCCGAAACGTCGTGAGAATTATTTTATTATGTTTTCTTTTTATTATTGTATTATTTCACTTCTACGTGACTTTACCGAAAGAACCAAGAAGAGGAATGGCTTACTTAATATTGTACTATGCACTGGCGTGTGTGTTTATGCAGGGATGTGTGTTCGGATGTATGTGTGTACGCCTGTGTGTGGCCTAAGTCAGTGCTTACGGATGTTTCGGCATGTGTTATGATACAAGTGTGTCTGTATGTATGTATGTGGATCGGTAGTGTAGCGGTTCACTCGCTGCGCTACGAACCCGGCGATCTGAGTTAGATACCCTCTCTCTTGTGGCCGCCTCGACTGTGCTGTATCCTATTGTGATTGTCAGTTTTGTATTCGTTTTGTCTCCATGGCTCCATCAGCTCAGTTGTTACGTTGAACGTCAGATTGTCATGAACGGTCAATAATCGATTATCACGCACACACACACTCGAGCAACCAATATTCATCGATGCAATGCCACAGTCCTATAGATACAATACACAGGCTTTTATTCCTCACTGGCTAGCGGAAGGAGGTGATGGGGTGACCGGATGACCACATGCAGAGGCGAGAGGGACACTAGCCGTGGTGTACCGGGTGTGTAAATGATCTTTAGGGTCGCAGACTTAGTTGAAATTAAGCTTCCGACGGACATACGCAGGCCAATCGCCTACGCCGTGCACACTGGTGGTGGGGGGGGGGGTGCTGATGGATCGGCAGTCAAGAATAATGACAGAGCAGCAGCAGCAGCAGCGGCGGCCAGGGAGGGAATGGAATGCATCCGATAAGGGGTCGTCCAACCACCGCGGAGATGGAGCGATCAAATCGGGGCTCGCGTGCAGCTCAGCTTGCCAGATGGATCGTTCCCGTCGCCGAATCGCGAGGGATTTAGTAGCGGTGCGGCTTGGAGGGAGCTCACCGTCCAGCAGTGGATTGGCCAAGGCTCATTGTGATCAGGGTGATGACGCATAACGCAGCAGCGGCAGCAGCGTCTTGGCACCGCGTTCCAAACCGTGGGGGGGGGGGGGGGGGGGTTGAGAGCCCAGAGCGGTCTGTATTGGGAGCCGTATCTACTCTACAGCTGGTGACCCCTCGATTCGGCTCCATTATTCTCCCCCTCGAGCGGGCCCGACTCGCAACTGAGCCCCCCGTTGTCTCCCCCCCCCCCTATGACCGTAGGAAGTGACAAAAAAAGCGCCAACAACTTGTCCACCCGAGGGTCAAAAGATTGGAAGGTCAGGGGAGGATTCGACGCCTTCCACCGCGTTCAATCGGAGAACGTTGTGTGTGTGTTGGAGGGGAGGGGGTGAGAGGAGGAGGTGGTGAGGAGGAGGAGGAGGGGGGGTGGGTGTCCTCTGCTTGAACCGGCGGTGGCATTGTCATGGTCGAGACCAGAGAATTAAAACAAAGGCCGCCTTCAACCCCGCCAGCGAGGCCACCGAGATCGCGAACTTAACAACAACAACAACAGCAGCGGCGGCAGCAGCGGCAGCGGCGGTAGCGGCCAGCTTGGCTCGCGCTACGCGCAGTCACACACTTGCCCCAACAGTCTGTTAAGGCTTCTCGGGGGATCTTTGTTTTTGTGCATAATACACACTCACATACCGAGAAAGTGTTTGTGCGTCTGTCTGTAGCACTTCCCACAAAAGTACGTTAGGGTTATACTGGGGATCGTTGTGCGTTGTATGCTGCACGATACATACCCCCCGGGATACGACGTGTGATCGTGTCTCTGTGTGTGTGTGACTGCTGTATGTTGCCCCAACATTTTGTTGAGGCTATACGGTGCCTGGCTGTATGTTGTGTCTGTACGCTGCGAGATACGTGCTCACAGACAGCGTGTGTTCTGAATAATACGTACGTGCATGCTAGTTCTGATCGCACCAACCCCCTCGTTGCGCCGTACCCGCCTTGATAGGTGCTCGCTAACAGCACTTGCCCCATCAGCCTGATATAGGCTACACGGGGGATATTTATCTTTGTAAGACTGTGCGTGGCTATCGGGCGGTAGCGCTGTGCGCGACTCAGTGGGTGAGTAGTTTCACCGCGCCACGAACCGAGCCATTCGAGTTCGATTCCCTCGAGTAAAACACGTGAACCGATCCAGCGCCAACACTTAGGTCGGCTCAGCCTTAAAAAAACAAAAAAAAGCCTCCACATCTGGAGCGCTGTCTAAACATCAGCACCGGGCAGGACACAAAAGGCCAGTCATTTGATAGGCCCGATACAAACCCCCAACCCTCTCGTACGCCAACAACGCTTGCCCCAACAGTCTACGTTGGACGTCGCACGCATGTGTGTGTGTGCGTGTACCTGTGTGCGTGTGTGTGTGTGTACCTGTGTGCGTGCGCGTGTATGTGTGTGTGTACCTGTGTGCGTGTGTATTTGTGTGTGTGTTGATTACTTACAGGCGCCGTGCTTTAGGGTTCATTGCGAGTCACGGCGATGAAGGCGGTTCGTAGCCGGCACCGCGACGTCTCGCGTCGCTGCTGTTCCCCCCGTGGGTGGGTCCCAGGGTCCCCCACCTCGCCTCGCCTGGACACGCGGACTCCTCGCGCGGTCGGCGTGAGCTGAACGAGAAGGCGCGAGCAGCGTGCGTCGTCTGTGTGTGTCTGTCTGTGTGTGTGTGTCTGTGTGTGTGTGTCTGTTTGTGAGTGTCTGTGTGTGTCTGTGTGTGTGCCTGTGTGTGTGTGTGTCTGTGTGTGTGTCTGTCTCTGTGTGTGTGTCTGTGTGTGTGTCTGTTTGTGAGTGTCTGTGTGTGTCTGTGTGTGTCTGTGTGTGTGTCTGTGTGTGTGTCTCTGTGTGTGTCTGTGTGTCTGTGTGTGTGTCTGTGTGTGTGTCTGTGTGTGGGTGTCTGTCTGTGTGTGTCTGTGTGTGTGTGTATGTGTGTCTGTGTATGTGTGTCTGTGTGTGTGTCTGTGTGTGTCTCTGTGTGTCTGTGTGTCTTTGTGTCTGTGTGTCTGTGTGTGTGTCTGTGTGTGTGTCTGTCTGTGTGTGTCTGTGTGTGTGTGTGTCTGTGTGTGTCTCTGTGTGTGTGTCTGTGTGTGTGTACGGGTGGATGTCTGTGTGTGTGTACGTGTGGATGTATCTGTCTTTGTTTTTGCACGCTTGGGTGTCTGTGGATGTCGATTCACGCTCACGACCAACACCAGCGACGATTATCTGAAGCTGTCCCGGGCCTCCCCTAGGTCGACTCAGCCTCAAATAAGCACCTGGTGCGGTGTGTAAGCATCGCCACTCGGGAGACAAAGGCGGACGGGCATGGTGCTGGACACCCACCCCCTCGTGTGCCGTTCCGGCCTTCATAGGCGCTCGCTCACAGTACTTGCCCCAACAGTCTATTAAGGCTATACGGGTGTGTGCGTGTCTTGTCAGTCATCCCAGTCAGTCACCCCTCCTGCCAGCGTATCCTACAAGTGCACCTAGCCTGGCACAAGCGCCGTGGTGACGTCACCGCTACTTTAGCGGCGAGCGGCGATTGTTGTTGTTGAGTCTGGGCTGTGTGTGTCTTTGTGTGTATTTGTGTGTTTACAAATACGTATATTTTACATGTGTATGTATGTCTGTCTGTGCGTATGTATATATCGCGATTTATACTCATATCTCTGTGGGTGTGCACATTTAAAAACCCCTTCTACAACTCAAGAAACCCGCATACGAAAATAAGCGCACGTACCAAAGCACATGCTATAGACACACACATGCACACAACTGCTTAGCGTAAGGTGCACACTACCTATGGCAGCTGTCCTACAGCGAGCACTCTTGCGATAACACTGCCTCAAAACAGTGGAATGTGCGTCGAAATAAACACTCACACGCACTCACTCTCATTACACTCACACTGACCACACTCACACCACACTCACTACACTCACTCTCACCACACTCACTCTCATTACACTCATCACACTCACTCTCATTACACTCACCACACTCACACTCACTCTCATTACACTCACTCTCACCACACTCACACCTCACTCACTCTCACCACACTCACTCATCACACTCACACTCACCACTCTCACCATACTCACACCTCACTCACTCTCACCACACTCACTCATTACACTCACACCACACTCACTCTCACCACACTCATACCTCACTCTCACCACACTCACCACTCACCACACTCATACTCACCACACTCATACTCACCACACTCATACTCACCACACTCATACTCACCACACTCACCACACTCACTCTCACCACACTCACACTCACCACACTCACCACACTCACACTCACCACACTCACTCTCACCACGCTCACCACACTCACTCTCACCACACTCACCACACTCACACTCACCACACTCACACTCACCACACTCACTTTCACCACACTCACCACGCTCACTCTCACCACACTCACCACACTCACTCTCACCATACTCACCACACTCACTCACCACTCTCACCACACTCACTCACCACTCTCACCACACTCACTCTCATCACACTCATCACACTCACCACTCTCACCACACTCACCACACTTACTCTCACCACACACACTTTCACCACACTCACCACACTCACTCCCACTACACTGACCACACTCACCACACTCACTCACCACTCTCACCACACTCACCACACTCACTCACCACTCTCACCACACAAACCACACTCACCACTCTCATCACTCTCACCACACTCACTCACCACTCTCACCACACTCACCACACTCACTCTCACCACACTCACCACACTCACTCACCACTCTCACCACACTCACTCTCACCACACTCACCACACTCACCACTCTCACCACACTCACCACACATTTACCACACTCACTCTCACCACACTCACCACACTCACCACACTCACCACACTCACTCTCATCACACTCACTCTCACCACACTCACTCTCACCACATTCACACTCACCACACTCACTCTCACCAAACTCACACTCGCCACGCTCACACTCACCACACTCACACTCACCACTTTCACCACACTCACCCCACACACTCTCACCACACTCACCACACTCACTCTCACCACACTCACCACACTCACTCTCACCACACTCACCACACTCTCTCACCACTCTCACCACACTCTCTCACCACACTCACTCACACCACACTCACCACACTCACTCTCACCACACTCACCACACTCAGTCTCACCACACTCACACTCACCACACTCACCACACTCACTCTCACCACACTCACCACTCTCACCACACTCTCTCACCACACTCACCACACTCACTCTCACCACACTCACCACACTCACTCTCACCACACTCACTCTCACCACACTCACTCTCACCACACTCACCACTCTCACCACACTCTCACCACACTCACTCTCACCATACTCACCACACTCACCACACTCACTACACTCACTCTCACCACATTCACCACACTCACCACTCTCACCACACTCACCACTCTCACCATACTCACCACTCTCACCACACTGACCACACTCACTCTCACCACACTCACCACTCTCACCACACTCTCTCACCACACTCACCCTCACCACACTCACCACACTCACTCTCACCACACTCACCACACTCACCACTCTCACCACACACTCTCACCACACTCTCTCTCACCACACTCACTCTCACCACACTCACCACACTCACACTCACCACACTTAGTCTCACCACACTCACCACACTCACACTCACCACACTTAGTCTCACCACACTCACTCTCACCACACTACACTCACTCCCACTACACCCACTCTCACCACACTCACCACTCTCACCACACTCACCACACTCACTCTCACCACACTCACCACTCTCACTACACTCTCTCACCACACTCACTCTCACCACACTCACCACACTCACTCTCACCACACTCACTCCCACTACACTCAAACTCACTACACTCACACTCACCACACTCTCCACACTCACTCTCACCACACTCACCACACTCACTCGACGGCGCGGCTCCGAGAGAGGCCGAGAGATGAGATTTGAAGTGAATGTCGCCACGGCTTCCATTGGGGTCGCGTTCTCAACTCGCCTCTTGTCAAACTTGGGCGCCTCCTTGTTTTTTGCTCGCTTCTTTCTTCTCTCTCTCTCTCTCATTTTCTCTCTCTCTCTCCTTCTCTCCTTTAAGCAGCGAGTGACGGATTAACTCCGTGTGAACTTGGCTTCACGCTGTCCACCACCACCATCCACCCACCCACCAACTCAGCCAGCCAGCTTACCACCCCCACCCCCTCTCCCCAAACCACTCACCACCACCCCCACGATTCACCACCCCTCAAACCCTCACCCACCCACCCCTCCAACAAACCCGCTTCATCGCTCCGCAGCCACTGTGTGGTGGGAATGGATCGGGGCGCATCGAATTGCGTTGCCGAGGCGAGAGACGCGGGCCAAGGGTCCGTGCCGGGCAATGGCGCGGATGGTTACATTGCGGGCGGGTTGCGGACTCGACTTAGGTGGTGAGAGGGTTACGGGGACGAGTGTCCAGCGACAGCCGTGTGTATGTGTGTGTGTGTGCAGTGTATGTGTGTGTGCAGTATATATGTGTGTGTGTGTGCAGTATATAGTGCAGTGGGGAGCGGTAGTGTAGCGGTCAGCGCGCTGCGCTATGAACCCGGCGACCCGGGTTCGATTCCCGTTCACGGCCAACACCAGTGACGATTATCTAAACCGGTCCCGGGCCTCCCCTAGGTCGACTCAGCCGCAAATGAGTACCCGGTGCGGTGTGTAAACAACATCGTCACTGGGGAGACAAAGGCGGTCGGGCGTGGTGCTGGCCACCCACCTCCTCGTGTACTGTTCCGGCCTTCATAGATGCTCGCTGACAGCACTTGCCCCTACAGTCTATACGGGGGATCTTTGTCTTGTGTGTGTTATGGGGTTTGTTGTCTCGGGGAGGAGGTGTTACTGTTCCTTACGGGCGCGTGAGTGAAGAAAACGTGAAGAGATCAGGATTCAAGGTTACGGTTAAGGGCCCTGGTATTTGGGGTGAGGTGTTTCAAGTCGACGTCAGAATTCGATGTTAGGGTCATCGTTAGTGATGGTGATGTCATAGGAGTTGAGCTCATAGGTTTGGAGATTTGAGAGAGGGCTTTTTTTCTTCTTAAGGAAAACCAGGCATATAATGGGGTTTCAGTTGAGGGTTATGAATCAGTTTTCAGGGTTTAGTGCTGGATGTTGGAGGAGGGGGTGGGGTTAGGGGTCAGCGAGAGGTCGCGAAGAAGTTTTGACAAAAGGTTATGGAAATGAACTCACGCGTGCTTCTGGATGGTCAATGCAGTGGTCCCTAAAGCATCAATGCGTGCATTGTACTCTGTGACTAGCGCCAGGAGGTCACGATTAATGGTTACGATTAAGGGTCACGATTAAGAAAAGAAAACTAAATTGTGACTGTGGCACCTTCTTTCGCCAGCATCAAAATTATTAAACAAAAATATATATATAATAAGACAATACTTATGTTATTATCACAGCATGTTTGTTCGTATGTTCTACCACAAGCTTGTGTGCGTAATGCAGACTTGATCCCTTGCAAGAGGTGTCTAGTTGATGTCCGAACACCTTAACCACTTCCTGTATTTTGATTTAAAGCTTTCGTGACTGCAGGGATTCATATTCTTGGTTCTTTCGGTAAAAATCACGTAAGAAAGAACCACGAATATACTTCATGTATTCATGCCAGAAAGGGTAAAACCTTTAAAACAATTTCGATTAAATTGTGGCTTTAAAAAATTGTTTCTCAAGATTTTAGTTTTTTTTTATTAAGTGTTCTGTTCCTGATTATGTTTACAATTATGCTTTATTGACCGATTCTCGGCCACGGCTAACATCCGTAGCGAGAGATTTACCTGCACTTTAACTCCACGTCTTTTTTTCCAACAACCCACGCTTACCAGTGGCGGGGAAGTATGGTCATTAAAGCCCCCACGAGCAACAGGGGAGTGAGGAGGGGCTGTACGTCCCAATTAATTTATTCCCCGACACAATCGTCTATAAATCATCACGTAGGTAAAAAAGAATAAAATTAAAATTGATAATTATAATTTTATTCTTTTTTACCTACGTGACTTTACCGAAAAAAACTAAGAGTATGAATCCTTGCAGTCACGAAAGCTTCAAATCTAGAATTATAAATCATTGTATTATTCAAATTTTGCGTGGTCAGGTGCAGATGTATAGGTACAGGCGCAGGTGATTTATCTGCGCAGGGCTCACGTGTCTTCGGGTGAAGTTTACCATCTGTAAGGGGCAGCACTGGTGTGGGACACCGTGATTAAATGCTGACTTGTGGATTTAAAAAAAAAAGCCAACCGATTTTGTCCACATCAGAGTTCGATATTATTCCCGGCGAGCGACTTCACAATGTAACGTGACTGACATGTCGCCACTGATGTCTTCTCGACGTCATACTCCGAGAGCCTTCGCGGGTAAGAGATCTGGCCCGCGGTCCGCCACTTGAAAGACCGGAGGCCAATGTGTGTCCAGGTTTCCCTCGCTTTACGCGGCAGCAGATGCGTTCCGAAATAAACGGCGCACAAAGCGAAATCTGCGCAGCATAGAGCGCAGTCACCCAACCCCACAATGCATCGCACGAGACAGCTGCCTACGGCACAGGCGTACAGTGCAGACAATGTTGTCCCGCGTCCGATCGCATAGCCGCATACGAGCGAATTCAAACCGCATCTATAGGCGAATTTTGGCGAGAAACAGGTTAGCCGCATATGTGCGAAATCGCACAAAACCGAACCCGCATAAATCGAGAGAAACCTGCGTGCAGGTGTATACCTTTGATTGATGCGATAATGGAGGTGACACATCGGCACAACTTGCGCAACAACGAGAAGCGGCGAACAGTTGATGCGAACGCAATAATGCGCAGTGATAAGTATTAAAATGCAATATAACCCATCATCATCAGCAGCAGCTGCGATCTATCTAGCGGTCCCGCAATGCAATAATCTATCAAACTCCGACGTGCCCTGCCCAAGCCCGCCGCGGTTGTCTCACCAGTGAACGCGGCGCGTTAACCAGTGCCCGTGTTCATCAACGCAATAATGGAATGTGCATATGAACAGGTAACTCGCTGTAGACATCCAAGTGAGAAGGCGTGTTGAACGTCAGTTTAACTTTCTGTCGAGCCTCGCGTTTGCGATGTAATAACAAAACGTACAGCCCCCCCCCCCCCCTTTGTCAATCCACTGCTGGATGACCCGACCCCCCACCTCCCATGCCGTGTAGGCAAAGATGACTGATCGTAAACCCACCGTGATGGTCTTTGCGGGCTGGTGAATGGAGTCGCAGTACAGATTCAGATATCGCTCGCCGCTGGTGCTGCTGTTCGTTTGCCGCGGCCGGGAATCTGTCTCGGGTGGGTCAGGTTCTCGGCATCATGTATCAATGCGCCACCTCTCCACCCCCTGAAGCGATATTAAAGGGACGCACAGCTCCCACGTGACATGTGTTTTGGCAGCCACACTCCGAATACCACTGCGTTTCTCCTTTATCGCGAGAATCTTAGCTCACTATGGCGCTGGCACTATTACTCACAGAATTCCCACGCATTGGTCACCCCGAGTGCCGTGCGATGGTAGGTAGCGGTATTATCATTAGGTAGGTGTCGAGCAATACACCTACGAAGCATATCTTAGTGGTCGGCGTTCACGATTACAGGTGCCATTCTTTTTTTAATCCTTTATATTAAGTTCACTTGCTTGCTTGCTTGCGCGCTTACGACCGTGCAAATCTTTCGGTCGTTTTTTAACCCACTTCCCGTGATCCGATCGAGCTGACATTTTCCACACAGACCCGTTGTGCGTGACAATACATTTTCGTGAATTTTTTTTCTCCAAAATTTTACACTTTTTAGGAAAAAAATATTATACTTATTTACCAATTGCTTAATGGTGCCAGGCAATCATCTGACCCATAGGTGGCAGCTATCTCAAGCCAGAGGACGAGAGGACTCTAGCCGCCACGCATATAAAGGATTTATAGTGAAAAACTTTGTTTTTACGGGCTAATTTTTTATTAACTAGCAACCCGCGCGTCCTTTGGCCGTAACTATCCATCCCTTCCTCCCACCAGCCGGCAAAACTTTTTCGAATATAGTATGACATTGTGATGAATGTTAGCTCCGCTAGTGGCTACGTACGGGGGCTAACATGAACCCATTATTTACGAGACGTACGAATACTAAACCACACACAGACATCGATGTTTTACGTGCGCCCTATTCGATGTACGCACACGTTTCGCGAGCTGATAACAACCGATATTGATTGACGAATCGCTTAGTATTCGTTACGAATTACTAAGAAGATGCAATTTATTTTCGCAAGGTCCCGCACGGAACCCAGCGAGAAGGAAGGCGATGCGGGTGACAAGTTGGAAGCAGTTTTTTGTTTGTTGCTGTCGACACAATCGCTATCCGTGCGGTCGTGCACTACGAGTGGCTTTAAAGTCGTTGACAAATCTCTTACAGCCGTTGTTGCGGCGGTTGTGGTCATGTTGTGGTTTCGCTGATTCTGATCCGGCGGCCGCGGAAGCGAGATGTCCACGGCTTCGCCCGGTATACAGGAGGTTGTGTTCGAGTCCGACCATGACGATGCCTCGGTATTTTGAGTTTGCGGTGTTCTCTCCGTGGTCGCGTGGATTGTTTTCTCCGGGTCCTCCGGTTTTTCCATCCACGTTTAGAAACACGCGTTTAGTGTACTTGGCTGCTATACATTTCCAGAAGACAAACCACTTCGTTGAGCTATCATTTGTTGCCAGATCGCTTCTGAAAAGGAGCTATACAGCTCAGTGGGCCTTACTTGGTAAAATACAAAGTTGTGTTTATTGTGTCTACACCACGCGCCTGGCGCTGATGGTGGAGACATGCTTGTGGATATATATTCATGGTGTGCATTAGCGTGTGGTTCGTGTTAGAGGAGTTATTGGTCGTGTTCGAGCAGGTACTGTAGGCTTCTGGTTAGAGTCGGCGCTGCGTTTATATCGATTTAGAGGCTGTGCTGTGGCTATGGTTATAGAGATGTTGCTACGGTTACGGTATCAGCCTTGTAGATGATACTTTGACTAGAGATTGGTGGTATGATTGTGGTTTTGTTAAAATGTTTATTAATGCGTCTGTGGTATTTATACAGCTCGAGTTTGCGTTATATTTAGTATAGTGTGTGCTATTTGGCGCATGATTAAGGGTTTGTGCAATGGCTGTGGTTAGATGTTGGTGCTGTGGGTTAGGGTTGGTGGTATGGTTATGATAATCGAGCTGGCGTTGTTAATTTTACAACATTTGCCGTGCCGCGGTCGTTCCGCGGTCAGAGTCGGTGATATTTGGCAGACTCCGTGCTTTGATCGGTGCTACGAGGTGGTTCATGAGGTTACAATTATCGTTGGCATCGCGAGTGATGTATTCCGTTCACCCACGTTTAGTGGTTTCGCTGACTCTCTCATAGTTTCGCCATTTATATTCGGTAGGCCGGGGGTGGTGGTGTTGGTGGTGTAAAGCAGAAACGAGGAGGGGGCGGTGGAGGGAGGGGGGGAGAAGTTTAGGGGGGGGGCAGAGTTCCAGCCACATTCAAGTGCAGTCACGCCACGAAATATGTGGCGCTCCGGCTTGCGGGGAGAGAGACATCGGCGCGTCGCTACGGCTCTCGCCCATGCAGGAATGCGAAGTCCCAGCCGCCCTGTGCAGTGAATGTAAAAATAGCCTTCCCGCGGGGGCCACGCGACAGAGGGGGGGGGGGCGGGTGGGGAGTGACTCCCCCCCCCCCCCACGATGTTGCTATCGAGTGATGATGAGTGGCAAGGGTGAGACGAGGGCACACACGTTCGCGGGCGATGAAGGCGAGAGCGAGCGTTGATGTGTAAAAACTAGGACGAAATACAATAGACGCGGCGGGGAGGGGATGTTGCAACTTTTAACACGGTGTCTTGGCTGAAGGCGAAATACTTTATTCGCCGCTGCTTATGTTTACGACACATGGTTTTTGCTTCATGTGCTATGAAAGAGGACCATTGCCCCAAGCCTGACCCAATATATATAATAATTATTTTAAGACAAATGCGATGTTACTTGGTTATCTTAAGGTTGCTAAAATAATGTTTGTATCGTTGTTATACCGCTAACGTCGGTTTTAGGAAAGAACCGGTTACACTTAGCACTATCCAGCAAAATCTTCACGTTGCCACCGCAGTGTGATGGTTAGAACACCGGACTTGCAACCGAGAGAACGCCTGTTCGATTCCATCTCCCGGAGGAGGCAGTTGAAACAGTGTGGCAAGATTATTAAACACCGAAGTCGCTTTCGGCAGATCGCGAGTGCGGCGGGGTTAAAGTGTGGGCACCCCCCCCCCCCCACCTTCCCCACCAGAGACGCCGGGTCGGCATCATGGAAGAGTGGGGCAAGCATCGTCTCGGGTAGGAGGTCCCCTTCCTGCCAGCAGCGGCGTGATTGGAGCGAGCTACATTTTGCAGGGCTGCGCCTTGACCTTTCTATTGGAGAGAGAGAAGGGGAAAATGTACGACGCGGTGACTTATGCTGCCGTGCTTCCACATACCACGCGCTGCCTTGTCTTGATATCAACAAAGCGTGACGTGCTGTTAGCGAGCACCTATAAAGGCCAGCACGGCACACGACGGGGTGGGTGGCCAGTGCCACGCCAGACCTCCATTGTCTCCCGAATGGCGATGTTTACTACACATCGCAACAGATACTCATGAGGCCGAGTCGACTTAGGGGAAGCCCAGGAGCGGTTCAGATAATCGTCACTGGTGTTGGTCGTGAGCAGGAATCGAACTCGGGTCGCCGAGTTCGTAGCGCAATGCGTTAACCACTGCGCCACCGCTCCACTCACGTCATCCATACAAATATCCACCGTATAGCCTTCACAGTTTGTTGGGGCAAGTGCTGTTAGCGAGCACACGCCGTGACACATGTCCAATTCCGAATCTCTTTCCCGTTACTACTGCCGATGTAGTTATTTTTATTATCGCGCATTGTATTTCAAAACCTCTGAAAAAAACCACACACACAAAGTCCATATATGCAATGAACTTTATTATTAATAATAATATCTTCCTATGAAACAGATAATTAACCACATGATAATAATAATAAGCATAAATGACGTGAACTCTTCACCGCGATGACGCCTTGGCCAGCGTTCCACGTGGGAGAGAGAGACGACAGCGCCTACATCAGCATCAGCGCGACGCGAACGTGTTCCTGGCTGCTATTCGCAACCTCCGTCCGGCAAACCGAGTTAGTCGTGGGTTTTTTGTTGTTGTTGCGTTTAATTTATGCATTTTTGTGTTCGTTTTTTTAATATATATTTTTTTATATATAAATACACACGAGTAGATTTACACACCCTGTATAGCTCCGTTTGGTGTACACAACTCATATTTGTGGGGGTTTTTTTGTACAAACCGTCAACATTAACGCTGTCGCAAGATATATAATTATGTACACGGCGAAAACGAAATACACTTATTATGAAAGAGTCAACGTTTTAAGAACAAGTGGATGTTGTGTGAAACGACCATCCCCCCCACCCCCACCCCAACGTTCCGCCTGTAAAATACAACGGACCTTTTATTAATAATAACACTTATTAATAATTGTGTAACTCTATGTATAGAGAATATAAACGACACTTGATAAGAGCTTATTTTAAAATCACATCGCCGGATAAAGCCATGGAAAAAATAACGCGACTTCCGGAAAGAGAAACCCATGTCAAAATTAAGCGTCGTTGTGTGTATTTAAAATGCCTCGCGCGCGCACACAAAGACAAAGATCCCCCGTGTAGCCTCAACAGACTGTAGGGGCAAGTGCTGTTAGCGAGCACCTATGAAGGCCGGCACAGCACGCGAGGGGGTGAGTGGCGAACACCACGCACGGCCGCCTTTGTCTCCCTAGTGACGATGTTTACACATCGCACCAGGTACTAATTTGAGGCTGAGCCGACCTAGGGGAGGCCCGGTACCGGTTCAGATAATCGTCACTGGTGTTGGTGGCCGTGAGCGGGAATCGAACCTGGGTCGCCAGGTTCGTAGCGCAGCACGCTAACCGCTACACTACCGCGCGCACACACACACAGACGCACATGCAAACGTGAACACGTACACAAAGACACAGATACCCCCCCTCCCTTGCCCTGCCCCCCCCCCGCCCACCACCCTTTAGCGTTAAGACTGTTCCAGAGGAAAGTGCCGCTTTGCGAGCACCTATTAAGGCGCGCGCATGATGCGCGGCGCGGTCAGACAGCCACGCGTGACCGCCCTTGCGCGTCTTGCCTTGCCGACGGTTTAAACAATGAACCTCGGCCAAGTACTCCAAACTCGGTTACGGCCGAGTCGACCCTCGGGGAGGCCAAAACACATAAGTTAGTTTAAAAAAACGAAGTGCCACTTACTTGATGGCTATCCTATGACCGGGACGTTGAATAACACAGGTCGCCGACGATATGGTGGTAACCCACTGCGCCAACCACTACGCCACCAACTCCACGCAAACATGCCCCTCCCCCCACTACAGCTTTTGACGTGCTGCCGAGGCAAGTGCTGTTATAGCGAGCACACGATGGGGTGTATCCCCAGTGACGATGTTTACACCGCACCAGGTACTCATTGAGGACAAGTCGACCTAGGGAAAGCCCAGAACCTGGGCCTTCCCTCGGTCTGTCGTTGACCGTGAGCGGGAATCGAACTCGGTTCGCCAGGTTCGTTGCAAAGCTCGCTAACCGCTACCCCACCGCTTCCCATACGGTCATACACGTGCGCGCACACACACACACAACATACACACCCACACACATATAAACAAAGCTTCCGTAAGCTCTGCGTTGAAATGAGGCAAAACGTTTCCGCTATGGATTGTAATGCAGCCAATAAAATAAAAACGTACCCTGTGTTTTCCTTATAGATTACAACAACAAAAATCTGTGCATTAAAGTGATGCGGCGTTTTAAATACGCGGCGACACGGACACCGCAGTCGCCTGCAATTGACTACAGCAACGGCAGCAGTTGCTGTGGTCCCCGTAAGAGAGAGAGCGAGCGAGCGAGATCACCTGAAGCTCGCTCACGATCGATGGCCCTGACGTCCCCCCCCACCGATTGGTCCAAACGAATAGAACACACACGATGGATGGCAAAGACAGCGATCATACCCCACCGTGGCGGAGGCGGTGATGACGACGACGACGCCGATACTAAAACACAATCCGAGTGAAGCTGCGACTCTTCGAAAAAGGAAGGCGTAACTTCAAAACGTACGACCAATGTGACACGCTCGTTTTCTTGGGGCTCGCGGCCAGGATGCGTGTGTGTGTGTTACACGTGTGTATGTGTGTTACACGTGTGTGCGTGTGTCACGTGTGTGTGTCACACGTGTGTGTGTCACGCGCGTGTGCGTCGAAGTGCATGCAACTTCGCGAGTGATTTGTTTGTAAACAAAGTCGTGAAAAGATTAAGTCATTGAATCTTTTCTTTTTCAAAGAGCGCCGATTCAGCGATGTGATGACGTCAATTCATACCGGTCAACCCCAAATCAGTGCCGACCTTATTACAGGCCGATTCAGAACTTATTGGTCACCCCGTGCACTGAGAAATCTCAACATTTATCCTACAAAGTCCCATCACAAGGGAGAAAACACAAACAAAATAGACAAAACATGTTTTTTTGCCCGTATTGAAACGGCTGTACGCCGTACGGACCTGAAAACTCAATTTCCCTGTACACGAATACGGGGTATATAAGCCGTGTGGGTTGACACGGTATGTCAATGGAACGTCAGCTACTTCAATAATACCAACTTAGATTTTGTACAGAGGCGCTCTTAAAACAATGCATCCCAGAGCACCACACAGGTGAAAGAGGGAGACAGGCGAGGAGTCACCGGACAGAGAATGAGTAAAGAGATATGCTGGAGAAAGAAGAAAGGAGAGGACCTGATTAAACAGGTGGGGGGGGGGGGGGTCTTAATTCTACTTTAACGAAGCCTCAACATTCATGTTGCTTTACCCTGTACACAAAACCTCGGCGTATTTGTACGTACGATTGTGTGTGTGTGCGTAAGTGTGTCTATGTATTTTGTACATGGTTTCAGAAAACACGAGCCAGATATGTACGTGAGTTGCATCTCCCTTTCATATGAAGCAGCAGCAGCAGCGATGAATACTCATGATGATGATGATGGAGGAGGAGGCGGCTACCACAGCACACCAACTCGTTACTCTACTTCAGCTTGCCGCTATCCCGCCGCACAGCTACAGTCCCTCTGCTCTACACAACAACAACATCAACATCACCAACCAACCAACCACCAGCAGCAGCAGCAGCCATCACGGCCACGGCTCGCTCGCCTCGTCCTCCTCACAAGGGCCTGCTCAAGCCATCGGCCGCGCGGGCCTGGTGGCCACCGCCTTTGCAAGCGGCGGCGGTTGAGGCCGCGCCACCGGCGGGACCGCTCTGACCCGACGCGGCGTGGGCCGCCACGGAGCCCGGCGCCACCGTCACCGCCATTCCGCTACCGCACGGAGTGTCGGGGCCTCCTCCGCCACCCGAGGACGAGGAGCCTCCGCCGGCGGTGGCGATGGCCGTGGCGGCGGTGGCCGTGGCCGAGCGGATCTTGGTGTTGGGCAACTTGTGGTCCTTCTTCCACTTCATGCGCCGGTTCTGGAACCAGATCTTGATCTGGCGCTCGCTCAGGCACAGCGAGTGGGCGATCTCGATGCGGCGCCGGCGGGTGAGGTAGCGGTTGAAGTGGAACTCCTTCTCCAGCTCGAGCACCTGCTGGCGGGTGTAGGCGGTGCGCGAGCGCTTGCTTTCCGCGCCGGTGTAGTTGGGGTTGACTGGGGCGGGTGGAGGGGTGGGGGAGACAGCGGCAGGAGCACACCACGCAACAGGCAATCATCGCCAGGTGAGATGAGCCTCGCACGTCCAAAGCGGCAGCGCTCGTGATAAAATCGGGAGTGTGCGCGCGCGTGGCTGGCCATCGTACAAAGACGGTCGCCGCGTCGTGCGCTTTCGGACGCGCTTCTGCGGCCGTCTGGAACGCTCTTCCGATATTTGGAAGCCACTGGAGCTATGCACTTTGAAATCATCCAGATTGAAAACTCATTTCTTTAAAACAGTTTGTGTTTAGTATGTTTTCCCTTCCCCCGCACCTCCGATTACCACGGTTGACTAGGTACGGTGCGAAAGAAGTTCTACATACATACGTATGGGTAAACAGTATATACAGGGTGTTTCAAAAGGATGGACCCGATTTGAATGTGTAGCAGTTAGCACGCTTCGTTCCGAACCCGACTTCGATTCTCGCTTACAGTGAACTATTTCCGGGCCCCCCTAGGTCGACTCAGCCTCAAATGAGTATACCTTGTGCGGCGAAGTAAACATCGCCACGAGGGAGACAATGGCGGCCGGGCGTGGTGCTGGCCACCAACTCCTCGCGTGCAGTGCCGGCCTTCAGGAGGTGCTACTCGCCAACAGCACTTGCCCCAAAAGGTCTGTTAAGGCTATACGGGGGATCTTTGTCTTTGATACGAACGTCAATACCGGTCTCTTGGAGGTCGCAACAACGATGACGATGCCGAGGACTCGTATGCATCCGGTATAGCCTCGACGCGTTTGGAATATTTGCTCAACTTGATCAAGGAGTGCTTGGTGCGTGAATTGTTTACTTCTCTCGACAGTGGCCACGATTGTCATCCGGTTATTAATTTGGACGAAAACGCCGCAAATGTCGGCGTCACCAACATCCACCGTGTGTCCGATGTAGCAGAGAGGCCAGATGTCCGTCTCGATACAAGGGCCGAAAGACCATCGGGCCTGACGGAATCACGCCTTTAATTACTCCTGGTGAAGTATGGTCAAAACAACCCCCTCCCCGCTATACGACATGGCATGCGTGGGGGAGGCCTTCATCCAGTAGTGGATTCAGAAAACGTCGTCGAGCGTGCATGAGAAGATAGCGAAACGCTTACTTTGTACGTCTCGGGCTACTGCGTGTTCCTCCAAAATTAGCTCACAAATTAAAGAACGGGTTTCCCTTCGCGCCTTGAAACGTTGTTTAGGAAAACTATTTGCGAGAGACAGACCACACTGGGTACCCGGGTAAACACACACACACACGCGCGCCAACACAAAGACACGTACACACGCACGGACCCACGCGTCAAGTGCAAAGACAAAGAGCCCCCGTATAGCCTTAACAGACAAAAGGAGCAAGTGCTGTTATAGCGAGCGCCTATGAAGGCCGAAACAGCACACGAGGGGGTGGGTGGCCAGCACCACGCCCGACCACCTTTGTCTCCCCAGTGGCGATGTTTACACACCGCACCAGGTACTCGTGAGGCCGAGTCAACCTAGGGGAGGCTCAGGACCGGTTCAGACAATCGTCACCGATGCTGGACGCGAGCAGGAATCGATCTCGGGGCGCCGAGTTTCGTAGCGCGCCGCGCTAACCATTGCACCACCGCTCCCCACGTACACAAAAGACACGCACGTACACAGACAACGTGGGCACGCACACGCAATGCAATACACGCGGACGCAGAGTACAAGTGGACAAACGCACACAGCATCTACATGCACAGAAAGAGAGTGAGTGAGAGAGAGACATGCACGCGTACACAAGTACTACACACGCAGTGGCGTGTGTAGTACTTGTGTACAGGCGGTGCAACTGCCACGGGACAGAGAGGCCCAGACGCCAGGCGACAAAGAGGGCGCGGACGGGGTGGGGGGGGGGGGTGACATTGGACAAGGGACCCCGCTTGGATCCCTCGTACCACAGGCCTCTTGTCAAGCACGGCTACTGAACACTCACACACGAGCAGAACGATAGATGCACACAAACACACATACACCACACATGCGCATACATCAAAAACAACCACAGACTTCCGGGGCAAGTTCTTCTTCGTGAGCACCTACGAAGGCCGGCGTGGTAAGCCACCACCGCCCGGTCGCATTTGTCTCACCTCGCGTCGATGTTATTTACACATCGTACCAGGTACTCATTTGAGGCCGAGTCGACCTAGGGGAGGCCTAGGACCCGTTCAGATCATCGTCGCTAATGTCGGTCGTGAGCGGCAATCGTACTCGCACTTAAGCACGTACACACACGAGACACACGAAGATACACACACGACTACACACACAAACGCACCATCATTACACTAACGAGCAGAGCGTGATCACAGTTCTCCCATCGTAACTACAGCGCGTTCACATGGCGCAGCTTTACAAATCGGTGGCACGCTGCCGAGCAAAGGCGAAGGATGCCCCGTGTAGCCTTTTAAACGGACTGTGTGGGGAAGTGCTGTTAACGAGCACCTATGAAGGTCGGCACGGCACACGAGGGGGTGGGGTGGCCAGCACCACGCCGCCTTTGTCTTCCCAGTGGCGATGTTTACAGACCGCGCCAAGTACACATTTGCGGCCGAGTCGACCTAGGAGAGGCCGAGGACCGGTTCAAAGAATCGTCACTGGGGGCGGCGGCCGTGAGCGGGAATGGAACTCGGGTCGCCGCGTTTGTAGCGCAGCGCACTGACCGCTACGCTACCGCTCCCCACGAGACGCTGCAAACCACCCTCTCTACCCCCCCCCTCCTCCTCCTCCGACTTCCCATCCCCCACCGCACTATGCCACAGCAACCTCATGATGTGAACAGACAAACAAGTAAACTCGAGCAAGCACACACGGGGGGCGGGCAGCAGTGAAACTCCGCGAGATGTCACCAGCTCGGAACTCGGGCCCTGTGTCCCTGTGGTGGTTGGGTGTGTGGGTGTATATTGGTGGGTGTATTAGTGGGTGTATATTGATGTGTGGGTGGGTTTGTATTGGTGTGTGCGTGTATATATTGGTGGGTGGGTGTATATATTGGTGGGTGGGTGTGTGGGCGAGTGTATATGGGTGGATGAGTGTATATTGGTGTGGGTGTATATTGGTGGGTGGGTGAGTGTATATTGGTGGGTGGGTGAGTGTATATTGGTAGGTGGGTGTATATTGGTGTGTGTGTGGGTGAGTGTATATTGGTGGGTGAGTGTATATTGGTGTGTGGGTGTATGAGTGTATATTGGTGTGTGGGTGTATGAGTGTATATTGGTGTGTGGATGTATATTGGTGTGTGGGTGTATGAGTGTATATTGGTGTGTGGGTGTATGGGTGTATATTGGTGTGTGTGTGGGTGAGTGTATATTGGTGTGTGGGTGTGTATTGGTGGGTGGGTGTATATTGGTGTGTGTGTGGGTGAGTGTATATTGGTGGGTGGGTGCGTATTGGTGTGTGTGGGTGAGTGTATATTGGTGTGTGGATGTGTGGGTGACGGAGATGCAGTCCATTCGAACTGAACCGGTTCTTCGCGCGAGAAACACAGACGACTTCTTATTCCAACACAAATCACGAGCAGGAGGAGAGACCTGCAGGAGGAGAGACCGGCGGGCAAAGCCCCCAAACGAGGCCGGGACCACGCAGGCGAATGTAAAAAGCGTTTCTGCAAGATGCCCCCGTGGGTCGCATTGTTACAAAAGCATTGTTGAGAGTTACATCTCGCTGCTTAAAGAAGTGTTTTAAAAATGCGTTTTAAAAAATCACGTTGAAGATGTCGTGTGTTTGCACGCACAGAGAGACGCGTGGTGTGCCGAGGCTGTTGTGCACGCTATGCCGAGCCGCTAAATGGCTGTGAATATTGCAGAGGGAGCGCGGGCTGTCTGTGTGTGTGTTGCGAGTGTTGTGTGCGAGTGTGTTGTGTGTGTAATTATTGTGTATGCGTGTTGTATTGGTGTGTGTACGAGTGCTGTGTGTGTTGTGAGTTAGTGGTGTGCGTGTTGCTTGTGTAAGTATTGGTGTGTGTATGGGAGCTATGAGTGTTGTACATGTGAGTATTGTATATATGAGTGGTGTGTGTGTGTACGAGTGCTGTGTGTGTTGTGAGTGAGTGGTGTGCGTGTTGTTTGTGTAAGTATTGGTGTGTGTATGGGAGATGTGTGTGTTGTGAATGAGTGTTGTACATACGAGTCTTGTGTATATGAGTGGTGTGTGTACGAGTGCTGTGTGTGTTGTGAGTGAGTGGTGTGCGTCTTCCCCATGCGTACAGTGAACCGCGGAATGTCTTATCACCATTATCGTTACCATCTCCATCGCATTAATTCTCACTTCACGACGCACGCTGCAGCCACAGTCTAAAAGCGATACATTTATTGTTTACGCATAAGTCACCCAAGGGTTGCGGGGAAGATTTTGAGTGTATATCTTTGTTTGTGTATGTTTTTTTAAACATCTGTTATTACTACGAGTGGAAATATTTCAACCGAGTCGATGGAATATCCATCGCGCGCACGACGAGCACCGAGCTAACGCGGCCGCCGATGCTGCGATGAAAACGCGGGACGAGCCGAGTATCTCACGAATGTCACAGCCACTAAACTACCACCCCCCCTCCCCACCGCCCCGTCTTCATCGGTATCTACAACACTCGCCACGCCGCTCGTAACGCAACGCTATAATTAAACAGAACGTGGCGGACAGGGCGCGCTCGCACAACACACGCGCGCACGGACTGTGATTTGAGTCGAGCATTGCGTTAATGCGCATTTAAACGCGCTATGGAAATGGCTGCATTTGTTTCTGGTCAAAGAAAAAAAAACATCCAGCGATATGCGCGCGCGCGCCTGTGTGTGCGTGTGTTTTTTATTGCGTTAATGCTTTTTTTTACGAGAAGCGGTAAAAATAAAATAAAAACTTAAGCGCGCACGTCAAGTCGTTACGCGCACCGAGCTGACGTGTGTTTAGCTGTGGCTGTTAAACAGCACGACGGCACACAGACTCCAGCCACCGTGGCCGGCCACCGTGCGTGCGCGTTGCGCCGCCACTGCTGCCACTGGCCGCTATTGTTTGGGGAAAGCGCGCGTGGCCGAGAAGAGCATCTTTTACACAAAACACGAAGTGCCCTCCTCGTCAGCACACTTGCACCACCACCACGCGTCCAGGGCATCCCCAGTTCAGAGAGAGAGAGAGAAAAAAAAAATGCGAGCCTCGCTCAGGCCCATAAACCACCAGCCGCAATAAATATTATGAAAGGGGCCGCCGCGTCGTCCTTTAAGGCGACATAAATCTCGGTAATGTGCAATTCACGCCAGCGCTCCCCGAGACCAGCGAGTCTACGGGGACCCACTGGCACACCCAGAGAGAGAGAGGGAGCGAGCAAACGAGCGAGCGCGGGGGTCGGGACGCAGCCACGCGATAGAAACACACAAAAATAAAACACGCCGGCTCGGAACAAAAGCAGCGTGTGTGGTCCTACTTACGAGTGTTCACGTGCACCTTCTTCATCCACGGGTAGACTACAGGCTGCTGCTGCTGCTGCTTACTGCACGCCAGCCCGTTAGACGCAGCAGCGCCCATCTGCTGGGTGCACGCAGGCGCCGATTCCCCGCACGGATCGTGATGCAGGGCACCGCGCATCAAGTGTCCCTGCTGCTGCGGCTGTCTTCTTGGGCCCGGGGTCACGGCCTGCGGTGCCGCAGCGGCGGCGACCACCCCGCCACCGCCGCCGCCCAGCTGCAGCGCAGGTTGCGCTGTGCCCAGACCCTCCGGCTCGGGCTCGCCGCAGTGGTAGGGCTGCTCGGGGTAGTCCGCGTGCTGCGGCGGGTACACGGGCTCCGTTGGCTGCCGGTAGCCCGGGTCTCTCGGCTGCCCGTAGTACTCGGGGCTCGGCTCCGGGATGTAGTCTCCCTGCGAGTACTCCTCGCACGGCGGGAACTTGGGGTCGACGTAGTTGGAGTTGATCAAATATGAACTCATGGCCATTAATTTCTTTGCTGGGGTGTTTCGGAGATGCTATATTTTCTGCCGTTGTCGTTTTGCTGTCGCGGGAAGCCCACCTCCAAAAGCGATCGTTGTATATTTTAGCGTCGGCGCATGTGACGCGCTCAGCCAATGGGAGCGCGCGCTCGAAAGCCCGGATAAGGAAACGTGCCGAGATGAATGCAGCAAGCAGCTCCCGGCCACTTGATTCCTTCACTCGGGACTTCGCGTTTTTTGACGTCTCCCCCCCCCCCCAATGATGATGATGATGGTGGTGGTGGCGGGGGCGATAGCAACAATGATGATGATAATAATAACAGCAGCAGCACCGATGACTCGCATTGAATGCTAAACAACTCGTCGATGGAAGTGTGTTGGTGACGACTATGATGATGCTGGTGGTAATGATGGTTGGTGGTGGTGATGATGATTGTAGCGATGCACGAGTGAACAATTACGAATGGGGAATAATAAGAAGTTCGTGCATGTCACGCCGGTGCGTTGCATCATCGCCATCAGTGCTCGTGCAGTGCGGTTTGAATGAGGCGCGTTAATTGTTAATCGCCGCACGAGTGATGTACTTGCATTTTTTTTCAATAGACCTGACTAATAGCCTAATCGGGCGATAATTAAATCACAACGAAGACGTTTAAATTTGCGTTGTTTTTTTTCTTCCACTTAAAGCCGATTTACAATCCTCGCACATCCACGTGATCATTCTACTCCACGTTGCGTGGCCTCGCGCTGTGTGTTAGTTTGTGTTGTTGTCGAGTCAAACAGAATAGATTTTCAACGTGTCCGTCGGCGAAGTGGCCTTTGATGGCGGATTATGGGTTCAAGTATGCACAAATATTTGCGAAGCCTCTGCTTGGATGCACTTGGCGAAAATAAAAAAAAACCCCACACACAAAACCTCACCAAACAATATCGCGAAATTAAACCCACAATGCACCATGAAACGAACAACAACAAAAACCCGTCAACAGTGTCAGCAGCTGCAGCCAGGGCAGTAATGGAGGGACCGTGGTGGTGACCTTGGTGAGACTCGTGTTGGATTGTGTTGGAGAGGGCACAAGGCTTTCGTGTTGGATTGTGTTGGAGAGGGCACAAGGCTTTCGTGTTGGATTGTGTTGGAGAGGGCACAAGGCTTTCGTGTTGGATTGTGTTGGAGAGGGCACAAGGCTTTCGTGTTGGATTGTGTTGGAGAGGGCACAAGGCTTTCGTGTTGGATTGTGTTGGAGAGGGCACAAGGCTTTCGTGTTGGATTGTGTTGGAGAGGGCACAAGGCTTTCGTGTTGGATTGTGTTGGAGAGGGCACAGGGCTTTCGTGTTGGATTGTGTTGGAGAGGGCACAAGCCTTTCGTGTTGGATTGTGTTGGAGAGGGCACAGGGCTTTCGTGTTGGATTGTGTTGGAGAGGGCACAAGGCTTTCGTGTTGGATTGTGTTGGAGAGGGCACAGGGCTTTCGTGTTGGATTGTGTTGGAGAGGGCACAGGGCTTTCGTGTTGGATTGTGTTGGAGAGGGCACAGGGCTTTCGTGTTGGATTGTGTTGGAGAGGGCACAGGGCTTTCGTGTTGGATTGTGTTGGAGAGGGCACAAGGCTTTCGTGTTGGATTGTGTTGGAGAGGGCACAAGGCTTTCGTGTTGGATTGTGTTGGAGAGGGCACAAGGCTTTCGTGTTGGATTGTGTTGGAGAGGGCACAAGGCTTTCGTGTTGGTTTGTGTTGGAGAGGGCACAAGGCTTTCGTGTTGGATTGTGTTGGAGAGGGCACAGGGCTTTCGTGTTGGATTGTGTTGGAGAGGGCACAAGGCTTTCGTGTTGGATTGTGTTGGAGAGGGCACAGGGCTTTCGTGTTGGATTGTGTTGGAGAGGGCACAGGGCTTTCGTGTTGGATTGTGTTGGAGAGGGCACAAGGCTTTCGTGTTGGATTGTGTTGGAGAGGGCACAGGGCTTTCGTGTTGGATTGTGTTGGAGAGGGCACAAGGCTTTCGTGTTGGATTGTGTTGGAGAGGGCAGAAGGCTTTCGTGTTGGATTGTGTTGGAGAGGGCAGAAGGCTTTCGTTACAAATGAGCGGGGGCCCCGGCGCACAAAACCAGCCAACCAATGCCGTTCCTTTTGTTCCGTTTGCAGCAATGACTGTGGACTTGATACACAGCAGGAAGCAACAGTGGCAGCAGCAGCTGTAGCTGCTGTAGGAGCAGCAACAGCAGCAGTAGTGAGCAGCAGCAGCAGGAACAGCAGAAGCTGGAACAGCAGCAGCAGGAGCAGCAGCAGTAGGAGCAGCAGCAACATCAGCAGTAGGAGCAGCAGCAGGAACAGCAGCAGCAAGAACAGCAGTATGAGCAGCAACAGCAGCAGTAGGAGCAGCAGCAAGAAGAGCAGGAACAGCAGCAGTAGGGACAGCAGCAGCAGGAACAGCAGCAGCAGGAACAGCAGCAGCAGGAACAGCAGCAGCAGGAACAGCAGCAGCAGGAACAGCAGCAGCAGGAACAGCAGCAGCAGGAACAGCAGCAGCAGGAACAGCAGCCGCCCGCCCGTCACCTCGTGAGCGCACAGCAAAGGGGGAGCGCCGTCGAGGCTCAAGGGCGGAGCAATTAAATGGAATTCGGAGCTCCCGAGTGAGATAATTATTCAGGGCAGACCCGCGAGAGAAGTCAGCGGGAACAATGACATGCGACCACCTCTCCCACAACAGAGTCTGAGATTCTGGCACACACGCGCAGTGCTACACACACACACGTGTGTACCTGTGTGAAGTGTGTCACTCATTGGCACGTGACAAAACCTTGCCAATTGACTGTGCCGTCGGGTGGTGGCGGGTTTAACGACACATTTTTCCGCGATCTCACCCAAAAAACCCTTTCATGATGAAGTGTGTATTGACTACTATTCGGGAAAATGTTTAAATCTATCTTACGTTAGCTTCCCCCCCCCCCCACGGGTCGATTATTTTTAAAATATATATTAGTACGATTCACGTATTAGTCGATTTTATTCGCAAGCTTGGCTCGGTATGTGATCGTATCGCTCGCTCTCTCTCTCTTGATGAACAACACATCGAGCCAACCACCGCACGCCCAGTGTCTGCGTGGCACGCGTTCTACATTTCTCCCAGAGATACTCATTGCCGCGGTAAATTGTCGTTGTTGTTGTTTGTAAGCCACATCTGTCTGTTTAATTGGACAAGGCACGCACGGACAGGCGCATGCGGCGCCTATTTAAGCGCCAGCGCATTCCGGGACACGCGTGGATCTCACCACGTCCGGGCACATTCACAAGGTCCACCGCACAGCAGACGGCGCGTTGCCGGTGCTCTTTCACGGCACGCACGCGAGAGGCCAGAGGACGGCTGTGCCCATCGCCACTGCCCCCCCGATGACCACCAGCGGCTGACCAACCGCTCGCTGCTTCTAAACATCCAGTCGATGGACAGACCTCCCCCCCCCCGACTACATTTATCTGGGGGTTCATAACCTCCCAACCCCCATCTCCACGAGCGCCTTCCTTCCCCTCCATTTTCTCTTCCGAGCTCCATCCCTCACCACCCCCCCCCCCACTCTGCCATCCATCTCCGCCTCCCCCCCCTCTCCACAACGGGTTCCTAAAATCGCTTCCTTTGCAATCCTCGTGACGGTGCCCCGACACACACACACATATATATATATAAACTCGCCCAAACACCCGCAGCATCACTGCACTGATAGCGTTACTGGTTCGGGTTCACTACGCATGTGTACGGCTGCAGGATACGACTATTGTTTTCTTTGTATTGTTTCACCATTGTTGTTGTTGTTGTTTACTGTGTATGAGTGTCGTGTTTATGGGACTGCTCGGGCAAGGGCGGCGAAGGCTGTGATTGGCAGCAACATCGCGCGAAACAACCCGAAGCCCGAAGTTCGATTCCCGGCCACGGCTAACATCAGTGGCGAGTGAGATCTGAACCGGTCCGGGGCCAGCCCCTTTCACCAACTCGCACTGACCAGCGTGGTGAAGTATGGTCTAACAACCCAACACGATCGTAAGGCTTGGGGGGAGGCAGTGGGTTGGTACATGGCTATATTTTTGTATGACTCATTTTATATGATATATTTACATGTTTTGGAAGGTATATTGTACACATATATGGAAACCAAGACTGCCATTTATCGCTGTTGGGCCCTTTACGCATTATGTATGAAGGATCAACACACAAAAGCAAGTTATACCATTCATCAAAGGTAGACTGTTGGGGCGAGTGCTGTTAGCGAACACCTAGAAAGGCCGCCACAGCGCGCGAGGGTGATTATATGGCCTCGGGGCAAATATTGTGAATGTAAGCGTTTCAGGCTGAGTTTACATCATTGAGGTTCGGATGGGGTTCATCCTATACGCAGTGGCATTGGTGTTGCAGGTTCGGGAATCGAACCGTGCGGTCGACTGCATGCGAATACAAAGCTCGTCCCCCCCACCTCCTCCCATACAGTCGCATACATAGACTGTTGGGCCACGCGTTGTTTGCGAGCACCTATTAATGTCGGCAGGGCACACGGCCAGCTTCACGTAGTCCGAGCGCCGTTGTCCACCCAGTGATGATGTTAACGCGCGGTCACCACAGGTGCTCGTTTAAGGCGGAATCGACCTAGGGGAGACCCAGAGTCGATTCAGATACACCACTCGACACCGGTGTTCATAGTGCTGTGGACTGAGTAATGCGCCAACGATCGCGGACTCACAGGCCCAAGCATATACGTAGTAGATACACACAGGCGGACATACACGCGCTCAAACAGAGGCACGAATTCACGCACACACAGACGTACACAGACAGAAGCACACACACACACACACGAATACACACACACACGGATACACACACACGCGCTCAAACAGAAACACGAACTCACGCACACACAGACGCACACAGACAGAAGCACACACACACGAATACACACACGGATACACACATACACACACGGATACACACACACGCGCTCAGACATACAGAGACACGAACAAACACATACGCACACACACACACAGACAGAAGCACACACACACACACACGAATACACACACGCGCGCTCAGACATACAGAGACACTAACACACGCGCTCAGACATACACAGATGCTCACGCACTCACGGACAAAGGCAAATATTCCCCTCCCCACCTATAGCCTGAACAGACTGTTGGGGCAAGTGCTGTTAGCGAGGCCATTTGAAGGCTGGCAAGGCACAGTTAGGGGTGGGTGGCCAGAACCACGCTCGGCTGCCTTTGTCTCCCTAGTGGCGATGTTTACACACCGCACCAAGTACTTTGAGACTGAGTCGACCTAGGCGAGGCCCAAGTCCGATTCAGAACATCGTCACTGGTCTTGGTCGTGAGCGGGAATCGAACTCGGGTCGCCGGGTCCGTAGCACGGCGCGCTAACCGCCGCCCCACCGCTCCCCCCCCCACACACACGCGAACGCACAGGCACACACACACACGCACCATCCCTCAATCAGTCGCTCCTTCCCTGCAGCCTCGGTAAACAAAACCGGCACGAAAATGGGACGAACGTTGCACTTTAACCGCGAGAGACCCTCACCTGCGGGCTCGTTCCCAACGCGCCCCGCACGAGAACGAAACGCGGCCCCACGCGGCTTCGCACGGGGGAGCGGGGGGGGGGTCCCCGAACTCCCTGCGTCGTGCCAGCCGGGACAGTCCGGATCGCTGTTCCGGATGTCCGTTCGAGCACCGAGTCCGCGGTGCTTCCGTTCCCGCCGTCTTGTTTGTTTTGTCCACGCAACTTGGGAGACGTGAATCGCGTTCACGGGATTACGGGGATATTAGAGGGTAGACTACGACTCCAGTGGTAGTACCTTACGCCGACAATGCCTGCCGAAAGCCAGCCTCGCATCCTGACGGAAAACATCGAGTGAAAGCCTGGATGTGCGAGGGTAAATAACATGTGTATAATTCATTATTTGGTTCATATAATAATTGCGCAACCTCTATTCCCTCTCTCCACATGAAAATAATAGAATACGTTTCAGTCCATCGGCCTATTGGCCATCCACACTCACAGCATTAGTCTCTATCCAGCGCCGTGTGTCGCAGCGAAGCTAACCAACTCTGCACCGGTTCCGAAGGTTTGGGTCTCATCAGCAGTGTCAGGCTTCCTTAGACGAACTCTGCTGATTCATCCGATGTTATTGGCAAGAGCGCTCCTCTTTAAACTGCTGGGTCCTATGAGCTAGAAAAAAAATCGTCTGAAAAACGCAATTATGCTCAGCTGTCGAATATCCTATATGCAAATACACTGAATGAAATTAATGTTTTTTAAGGATATGCCCTGTGCAAGACTGCAGCAGTGCATGCACATGGCTTAATTTCCCATTCGAGATTTTCCGGGAACGCTGTTACAATCTGGTTCGGAGAGTAGGGATGGATTGTCCGGCGTAAGGCACTAGAACTAGAGCACAATGGACGCCGATCCATATGACATTCTATATTATGAAGATGGATGTAGTGTAGTCTCAGGAGCAGTGTTTTGGAACGCTCGGGCTGAAATGACGCAGGGAGTAGTCCCACGTCTCCCAGTTGAGTGGCGTGTGGGTCAAGTGCTTTGCCAGGTTTCACAAGACGAGGAGTTGGAGAGAAATCGTGGAAATCTTTCGGCTGCCACGAAGCCCTCCACGTGTGTCACCCGTTGAGAGATTCAGATTCTCGGATTATGTTATTATAGTTTTTAGGATCTTACCTGTATAACAATGAAGTGAAGATGAAATGTATTTTCTTTATTATCATCATAATTATTATTTGTACGTCCGCTTCGGAGAGAGACTAATCGTTTGTGCAATTCATAACTTAGTTACCCATCGAGATGTTTGCTTGCGTGTTTGAAGCAAGTGGTTGTTGTTGTTGTTGTATGGGTGATATGTAGCATTGTCACACATTCATGATCAATAACGTGCCAGCTAGAATGGATTAGGAGCAGCACTCGTGTGCTGGCACTGAACGTGTTATAATAACACGAGTACAGTAGAAACAATCCAGTAGTGCATTTACAAAGCTACACACCGCCCTGTCGCATTGCTATATCTTAATGCATAACATCTAACGCAAGTTTTTATTTCTTCTACATATAGATTTACACGCACGCGGATATATGTGCGCACACGCGGCCCTATACATATTTGGGATATATCGATGTTTCGATGTAGACGTGTGTATTTAAAACTCAATTTTAAAACTAAATCAGCACCAAACCACAGCGGTAGTATCGCGTCGAGAAGACCCGCGATTGGCCATCGATCGTGATGAGTGAACGAGGAGATGGAGACGATGCCACGGGGAGAGCTGGGGCACGTTGATAATAATAATGATGATGATGAAAACCCGGAAAACCAAGAAGCCACGCGTGAATCCACGCGTAACTTTCTTGAAGCGTTTGTTTTGTACAGATATGGTGTACACACAGCATTTATCTATATACATCGATTTCGCGCGCGTGTACTTATACGCAACACAAGCAGATCGTTATAACGATCTAGATATACAAAGTTAGATAAATCCCCATCAAAAGACCTGCATCTCGCCATCTTTAAGATGTTGGGAACTAAAATGAAATGCGAGTGGTGCGTATAGGAGTGGACATCCCTGCAAATGACCTCCCTGCCAACGTCTCGCAACCCGCGTCCCTGAATCTTAACTTCTCCCCTCTCTCACCCCCTCCGCTGGGCCACACGCGGCCCCCGGCAGCTAAAGAAGAGAGAGCGTCCTTTAGTGTCCTCCATGGCCTCACCACCCCCCCCCCACCACCACCACCCCACTAGCCCTCTCTTTCCTCCGATAATTAATATTGATGGCAGACGGGATGACCCCCCGCTCACCCCGTGTCCTAGCGCGGTCACACGCGGCGCGCCCACCCCCTGCCACTGTCCCTGCCCCTGGCTCGCCCAACACCCTCGGCCCGATAAGGCCGCTTCTGTTGCCCCTCCGGCCCCTATAAACACCGCAGCCATGGCTTTGCTCGGGGTCACGAAGGAGACGCCGGGCATGCCAGGAAGAGGGGTGCGCGCGCGCGCCGCGACGGGTACGGAACGGAGGAGAAACGGCGAGTGGTTGTTTTGTTTAAGGCGGAGATTGTTTTGGAGGAGTTTGTTGTTGTTATTTATATATATATAGAGAGAGCTGGTTTAATGACACTCGTCCGGCAGTGGGACCCACATCGCTGGCGGAATTGGTCGGCGATGGAGAAGAAAAGGCACCCCACCCCCCGCCCGTCCGTCCGCCGCTACCACCCCCTCCTCCCCGCAAGCACTCCCCGGCCGAGGCAACGTGTAGCAGCGGTGATTCTTAGCGACAAAGAACAATCGCGAGTGAGTTGTCCATTAAAGAATTGTTCAAGGTGCCGCGATCGAACGAAGCGCGCGGATTCCTCGTTGGCGCGACAGGCGCCGCGAGGGGACGGTCGGCGGAGAGGTCAAGACGACGTGACGTCAGAGGCAGGTAAAAGCCCCCCACCCCCCCCACCCCGAGAGGTCAGTGCGCATTAAATGCCCTCTTTAATTGAAAATGACCAACACGGGAGCCCGTGCCGCCGTTACACCAAGGGTCGTCGCCCCGTACGAGCATCGGCGGGCATTTTGGTCGGCGTTGTGGTTCAAAGCGAGCCCGATGGGGGGGGGGGGGGGGGGCGAAACGCCGAATGTCGGAACCGGTTCTGAGTCGTTATCCTTTGTTTCTTGTATTGAAACAATGCTGCCGATTAGTTGCACTCACGGAAGGAGGCCACGTGAACGACGAGTTGCGATAAAAAATCGAATGTTTAGTAGGTGTGGAGAGAAATGTGGGGATAATGTGGCGTTTGTTTATTTATTTGGCTGTGAACATTGTCCACAAAGACGCGTGGTGATGATGATGATGATTTTGTGGTATGCGTTAATTATACTTGACACCGATGTAGAATCAAAGAGGTTGCACCCACTAACTCACCAACTCACCCACTCACTAACTCACTCACTAACGCACTCACTCACCCACTCACTCACCAACTCACCCACTCACTAACTCACTCACTAACGCACTCACCCACTCACTCACCAACTCACTCACTAACTCACTCACTCACTAACTCACTCACTCACTACCTCACTCACTAACGCACCTACTCAATCACTCACTCACTAACTCACTAACGCACTCACACACCCACTCACTCACTAACTCACCAACTCACCTACTCACTAACTCACTCACTAACGCAAACACTCACTCACTAACTCACTAACCCACTCACTCACTCGAGTCGTTGTTTGCAACAGACCACACACTGCTATTTGTCTTTCCATAATGGGGTCCTCGCGTTAATGGGTTGGTTATATACACACACACCTAATTATATATATATACACACACACATACGCCTAATTATAAATACAATCTTTTCTATATAGAGAGAGATCGAGTCACAGCTATGCATGAGCAATGTGCGACGTCTTTATTATTTAGTGCACCGCCTTGCTCGCAACGTTTCATGCTATGCGACGTTTAACGCTAAAACTATGAAACCACCACAGCGGTATCATGTTTAACGTGAGCGTGCCATGTGGACTTATACAACGTTAGGCAAGCAGCTTGACACGATGCCGAATTTCGATGACACGTTTTTTAAATAAATCCAAACACTGAAGCCGCACTGCGCAAACCCTCTAAACCGTTTGTCTCACGTACGATGGTTGAGCATACATTGGTTGTTTGCAGTTATACAAATAAGTGCAAACAAAAATTTCACACGTTCTATCATCGTCATCATCGGCCTCGGTCACATCCACCGCTGGATGAAGGTCTCCACCCTCAGACAAGCTGGTGCCATCTCTCGCGACGCTGCGTGTGGTTGGTGTGTAGAACTTCTTTCGCACCGGACGTGGCCAGCCGTACGAATCGCAAGGTGCGTGCAGGGATGATGTAACGAGCCGCCGATGCAGAGCGCACCCTGCGCCTCTCTCTGTACACACACCGGATGATTTCGCCCCACGTTATTATTATATATTATTGCAAACACCCCCCCACCCACCGAACTTTTCACTTCAAGGCTACACACACGCATATAGGTTTAGTACCATATAGCCAACGCGTTAGACGGCGAGTAATTACGGCGCGACGGATAACGTGTGCAGCTTTGTGCGAATAATTCTGCGTGCGCGCACGGCATGCGATGTCATCCGTGCGTACGTGCGGTGAGAGACATCGTTTACACGGCCGCCTCGATCTTAGATTTCTCGCAAGGCCTTAGCCAACTCACGGAACCGCACAAAGGACAAAGATTCCCCCGTGTAGCCGTGAACAGACTGTTGGGGCAAGTGCTGTTAGCGGCCACCTATGAAGGCCGGCACGGCACACGAGGGGGTTGGTGGCCAGCACCACGCCCGGCCGCCCCTGTCTCCTTAGTGGCGATGTTTACACACCGCACCAGGTACTCATTTGAGGCTGAGTCGACGTAGGGAAGGCCCCGGACTGCTTCAAATAATCGTCTACTGGCGTCGGCCGTAAGCTGGAATCGAACTCTGGTTCGCCGGGTTCGTAGCGCAGCGCGTTAACCGCTACACTACCGCTCCCCACTCACGGAACCGCACTCACACACACACGGCACGACGTGAGACGCTACAGCAGCGATGCACGCGGCTTTAGTCACACACTCACTCACTCTCAGCGCAAGCATTCGGGAATAACATCGTGGCCCAGCTCGTCGTTTGGGGGAAATAACCCTTCTTCCCCTAACAGAGAGGTCATGAAGAAGAGCCATTGCCCGAAACGTCGCCTGTGATATCACGTTTTGTTTTAGAAGCCCGTGGTATTGATGAATATATTGACGTGGTTGTTGTTGTTGTTGTTGTTTGTGCACCACTGCACGCGCGGTACGGTATCACCAGACAGCCCCATCTTTACTCAAATCACTCTGCTCGTTACAACGCCTCAGGTCTTCCCTCGCTATCTCCCTGCAGCAAGAGCTTGTGTTACCAAGGAGCTCGTACTTGGGCCACACAACTAAACAACGCAATTAAAATAACGTCGTTGTTATTATTCATATCATTCAAAAATGTTACATTTCACCGCATGCTCGCGACAGATTGCAGGCGGTGTAGGGTGGCCATTATCCAGCAGTGGATCGACCATGGCTGACGATGACGATTGCGATCTCGGCTCACAACAATCTATTGATCTAATTCAATAATAATCGTAAAAACCCGCTTGCCGTAAAGCAACCTCGCTCTTGGTGTGGTGGTGGTGGTGGTAGTGATTGTAATTACTCACCTATGACATTGTGACCCTCCGTGAATGTATGGATATGCGTTTCGCGATGCTCTGCGTGCATACAAACGGGTCCATTCATCGACGCTTTGAAGCAATAAAAGCTTGAATGCTCACCGCACGCGCGTATGATAACGAGTACATATATGTGAGACGAGCAGTGTAAACATACATGTATAGTAATGGAACTCGCAGACAATTTCTGCGGTGATTTAATTTCGTGCGTCATCGCCGCAACTGAGAAAACTGCAATGGTTGCGAACACGAAACATATGATGGTTAATTTTTAGTTTTGTTATTTTTTTAAATAAATATTTATTTTAAGACTGCAGCCTAAGTATGCGCTCGTATATACCAACCCAAACTGAACACAGTTCAACAACAGTAAACAAAAATGTATAACAAAATTATACGTGATATTAAGAAGGGACGTCGCCGATTATATTTATTATATATTTAATTTATTTTAACGGCACAGTGTTGTTAGTGACCTCGGCGTTATGTTGAATGTAAAGGTCACGCCACTTTTACACGTTTTGTGGCAGATGTCACGACGTTAATAAAGTGCCATCGAATACATGAGGATGAAAATGTAGACAATAGAATGTTTTCCATAACGTCGGTGTATTTGTTAAAGAACGAAACAGGAGGATTTCTCCACATATCTGGCTGTCGCCTGATGATGCTGGTTGCAATTACTGGCGAAACGTCGTATTCAAATTGTCAATGTTGTGGGTTTACTCTGTTTATGTGACAAACATTACTAATTGGCCGTGTCCAGTCGTTGCGGGTGTGACGGCACATTTAAATTTACGCGATCTAGCATAAAAAACCTCTATTACGGATAATATTGGTCGTGAAAGCCTGCTCCGTGTTGAAGTAAATTCATGTTTATCGGCGTATAGTTTATTTTATTTCAGGAAAATTCTCTGTAACGTGTGAAAGTTTTTTGTCGTTTTACCAAAGTGATGAATCGACCCTCGAGGCCCAGAATCGGGTTCAACTTCGATGAATTGATCGGAAATTCTGCGGTTACAGGATTGTGATTCTTGTCATCGTTTAATGTTTGAACCTAAGTTCATGCTATAATGCTGATATTATTATATTTAAATAATACATAATATTATTATATTCGTTTGGTCGTTTCTCAGTCCGCTTGTCCTGGTGAGGGTCACGGCGGCAGCTTGTTGAGTCGGGCGGTCCAGACCTCCCTTTCCCTATTATATTATAAATTAGATCATCTTCCAATACTATTACATAAATATCAACAATACAATATAATAATATCAGACGAATCGTGAACCCACTGCTGGATGAACGCCTCGCTGCGTCCTGTGGCAGTCATGGGACTGTTTGTTGGTGGGAGATATTAACGGCATCATTTGTAGATATTATTATATACAGCTGCCCCAGCAGACCCACCTCTCTCTCTCTCTGCCCCCGCCTCTCTCTATCTTATGTGTCTCTCTCTGTGTGTCTCTGTGTTGTCTCTCTCTCTGCCCCCCCGCCTCTCTCTAGTTAAAGCCTCAACACAGAGACATTAGGCCTATGTGTGTCTATCTTATGTGTCTCTCTCTCTGTGTGTCTCTGTGTTGTCTCTCTCTCTGCTTGTGTGTCTGTCTATGTGTGTCTCCGTGTCTGTGTTTTGTCTCTCTCTCAAATTTAGTTCTACCTGATGACGGTTGCTTGTGTTGCAATCGAAACGTCGTATTCTATTATTTAATTTATTTTCTTTCTACGTGACTTTACCGAAAGAACCAAATAATTATTTTATCCGTGATGTTCATATTGCACGTAAATAAGAGATGTTCGTAACACATAATACACACAGACACATCGATATATCCATGCACAAAGACATGCACGCACACACATACTTGCATACACATTCTGTCCACGTATATACAAAGACACATATATATACTAAGACACATAACAATACCTATACCCGCCATTCGCCACTCAGTGACGGTGACGTCACCGCGGCGCTTGTGCCAGGCTAGGTGCACTTTGAGGCCACGTGAAGTGTCGAAGGCTCTCTGCTGACAGGAGGTCTCGGGACAGACCCAGCAGGTGCCATGGGTTGCCTGACTGAGATGACCGGTAGATGCACCAGCTGTACCCCCTACTGTGCCAAAGCTACATGCAAGCATGCACACACGACACCACAAAACATTGATACGTTTGTATACGTCATC